GGCACAGTTCAGTTTTAGAATTTTAGTCAATCCACCATTTACCTGACTCCAGAAAAACACTTCTGGCAAAAACTTTAGTGGCTTTGGAAAATTAAAAATGTTCCAGTATGACAGCCTGATTACATCTATAGTACATTCACCCAAAGCTCTAGGAGAGAAGGTAGAGTCACCTACTTGAGGTGCACACAGCTTCTAGCCCAATATGAAGCTATATTGACTGTCTCATCAATGTTTCGCTCATGTCTTCTCTGCAGTGCTCACTGAAAGCTAGAAAGCTATTTGCCCACTTCTATTAAAAAAAATTGAAAATTAAACATTAAAATGACAACCATTTGTATGATGCCTCCTTTACCAACCACAAAATCTCTTCTAAGCAACCAGACCATTTCAAGGTTTCCTCATTATTTTGAAAGACATTAGTAGGCTGAGACACCCGACTAATGCCCCTGGGAAAAAGTTAATGCTGAGATTATTTTTTATGGAAAGCCCTTCCTCACTCAAAGAGTAATTTGTTCTTAAGTTAATTTTTTTTACATTGTTTTCTTTCTTGAAACATTTTCCTTGGCATTTTACCAGAAGTTTGCAAAGATTTTACTCCCTTTCACAGAAAGAAGACACCTTAACTGAGAAATAAATAAAAAAGGGAATCAGATACAGTACAGAAATTATTATTATCATACAATAAAATTTATTAGGGAATCATTGTTTCTTTTTATGGCTATTTTACAATTAATATGAAGTTCAGTATGTCAAGAGCTCTAAGGCTATGTCATTTCAATCTGGTGGTACTCAAGCCGAATGGGTTTTCACACTAACTTTTAATAAGTAGAGCTATGTGAACTGTATAAGTGATGGTGAGCAAGTCTGACACAGAGTTACTAGCTCATGGCAAACTTCCCCACAAACAATTTTTCATTTCTGTTTTACAAACACTAATCAGGTGAAGTACAACCAACTTTATTACCCAATTTTATTGAAACAACCTAAAATAACTGCATCTCATAACTTCATAGTAGCTGTGAATGCAACATTTCCATCTTTGACAATGTCTAAGATATCTTTCAAACACTTTTACTCTTTTCAGGATAGCACGTTTATATTTTGATTCTAGCTTTTCAACCTTCCTTTTGTAGTACACTACAGCAACCTGTGATCTTTGATGACACTGTCTGTGGTATAAAAGTTGGTATTAGTCTGACTCGGCAGCAGTGCATCAAACAATGATGATTTCAGGACTAAGAGAAAAAGGGCTCTTTTGCTGCTTTCTGTTGCTTTAAAATAAAGCATCAAAAGTAGGGAACACCAAATGAAGATAATTCTCTTAATTAAACAGCCTCCACTTCTGAGCTGTTGTACACGCAATGACAGATGCTGAAAGGAGCCCCTTGAGATCATCTACTTGTGTGCTCAGAGCAGGGTCAGCTACAGCAGGTTACCTAGGTCATCTGAAGCTGTCTTCAGCTGAACTCTGACTATGTGTAAAGATGAGCACTACACAGTCAGTCCCAATGTTTGATCTAAAAAAAAACCCCAAAAACAAACAAACAAACAAACAAACAAAAAAACCTTTCTAATTTCAGATTACACAGATTATATTTTCTGGTTTTTAGTGTGTCATGATAGACTCTTGCCCTCTCAGATTTCAGTATCTTCCCCATGATGAACAGCCCCAGCTCTCTCAGCATCTCTGCCCATGCTGGATGCTCCAGTCCTTCAGTCATAGCTGTGGCCCTGCACTGGACTTCCTCCAGTACATCCATATCTTCCTCATGCAAGACTGGAATTAGACCCAGCATTTCACACACATCTGCACTCACAGTGCAGAGAAGAGGGGTAGGATCACCTCCCACGATCTGCTGGCAAATTTCTGCCTATCAGGCCTGGAATGGTCTTGCTTGCCCTTGGTGTAAGGGTGCATCGCTGGTTCATGTGCAGCCTGTCGCAGCACAGTCTCCAAATCCTTTTCTGCAGTGTTCAACCAATCAGTCCCCTACTAACACACTATCTTCTTTATTCTGACTTTAAGATATTAACAATGCCTAGAGAGTAGTGAGAAAAATTAGGACCTGTAGGACCTGGCATACTCCATATGAGTGGTACCTTGTTATCCAACATCACCCAATTAAAGGAGCTCAAAAATAAACATGAAATATTAAAAAAAATATATATATATAAATGTAAAAGCAAAACATGTCCCAAACAGACCCCACCTTTAGAAGGTAATCCCATATTTTACATATATGAAGTTGTTTTGAAAGCTGATTTGCCAAGGTTTCCAGAAATGAAAAAGACAGTTTACTGTCAAATACATCTCTTAAAGAAAAGAAAAAACAACAAACCAGGAATGACACCATGAGGCTTACAAACTGCTCTTTTCTTTTTCCCTAAAATACAGGCATTGTCTGCCTTTTCAATGAATGCTGAATCAACTTTATTTATCAGAAGACAATTGCATCTGTAACATTCAACAACAGCCCCTTGTCAATTTCACCAAAACGATGGTATAAGGATAAGACAATCAGGATGTCAAATGTTTTCCTCATCGCTGCAACAGCCTAGATTTGCTTTCTGTCACTAACAAGTTTGCTGCCATAATACGATCTGCACCACAGGCTAAGCTATGCCTAAAACCCATTTAAACTCTTTCATGTATACAACTCACCTGAAAAAGTACAAGTATAAAACATAAATCAAAAAACAAAACAAAATAAATTATTGCCGTTTTGTTTTGTATAAAACAAATTGGCAATAATTAACCATGCATAAACAGTGCAAGAGACCAGAATCTCTACTCACCAGTGCAATCCAGCACAGCTGCACATACTGAAGACAAAACACTGTTAGTCACATCTTTTGTTCTGCTTCAAAAAAACGCAGAAACAAAAGCAGCAAAACTACTACAACACCTTTTCTGTCTTTTTCTATTACAGGGTGCCATAATACCCCCCGGCACAATCAGATAGTTCTTGATAACAGTTGATCATTTGCCAGCAAGGGGCAGGCAACCAAACTACAGCCATTATATATCACTTAACATTGCACTTCTACACTATTTATTTCTGAATTCCTGAAGGTGAATCTCAAAACAGGCTCCATTCATGACAAAAAAAGCACTTAAACATTTAATGGCAATGATTTTCACTGGAGGTAGCTAGTGGCTACCTCCTTACTAAGGCAGTAAGAAAAGGAAATCAAACTATGTATTAAATGCAATGTTAATAAAGTTTAGTTACACACCTGTATCCAAAAGCCTTGAACTAGAATGAAAATCCTTACCTCTAATGTTGTTTTTTCTGAATATACTCTGAATTTCAAAATTCACTGAAATATCCTTGATCAAAAAATCATGTAGGAACCTAGCTGCTTGAGAACAAATTTCTTTCAACTCAATTAACTCAACATATAGTAATTGCAGGGCACCCCCGACGAAGGAAATGATTAGCATCTGACTCCAAGGCTTCGAAACGCTGAACACTCACTTTATTAAAACTACACTATATTGCATTACTATATTAAAGAGAGATACTATACTATATTATACTTACTACTAACTAACTAACTAGAGAACCTGTGACTCTCTGCTCAAGAGTCCTGACACACACACATGGATCTAATTGGTCAATCCTTGTGTAAACAATTTTCAAAACACATTTTACATGGGCACAAACACAGGAGTAGTAAATGAGATAAGAATTGTTTCGATCATTCTTTTCTCTGCTTCTCTCTGTTCAGAGGGCATGTGAATACCACACTCAACAAAGTGCACAAGACAATAATTCATTTTAATATCAAAGAAGGAAATAGTAGAATCCATTACAGAAAAAACGTTTACAAGCAGCTTTGCAGCAGAAAGCCTGTGTCCTGAATGGCAAATTGTAGTAAGGTGAGCCATGGGGATAGGAGAGTGATCAGAACAGCAGCTGCTGATAAAGAAAAGTGCTGGCAGTTCAGAACAATGAGTTATTGCTTTTGATCTCAGATTTTCTTAAATAAATGGGGAGTTGCTAAGTATTTTGATAGTGCAAGCAACAGCTGCTACTACTTTGAATAAAAAGAAAAAGGAAGAACTGCAAGTTTATGGAATATTGTTTACTGGGAATCAACACATCTTAATCCAAGTTTTCACAATACTCAAAGCTACATTTAAGTATACAATAGTCTCAATCACAAAAAACAAGCAGAACAATTAAACTACGTAAGGCTTAAAAGCACAGTGTGTATTGTTGGAATATTATTTTGTTCATAATTAGGCTACATATAATTAAGTTTATTTTTCATAGTTTTATTCATGTAAAATGCATTCAAGGGAATGTCAACTTAAGTTTATTTCATGGTGAGTTAATAGAAAAATGTCAATATTCTCTTCTTGTCACTTCTCCCACCCCACACAGGCCCAATTAGCAAAAATTTCCATACAATACTCAAAAAACAATAAGCTTTTACACTAAACATCCAAAATTAAGCCTGATCAGACAACTGCTAAGTTGTAAACTCTTTATTACAATGTTGGAAAAACTTCAAGGTTCTTCTTAATGACACATTGTGGCTCTAGAAAATCAGTGTTCAAAACTACATGGTTCAAGAAGTCTTCCAGGTTTTAAGTCTGGTTTCAAAGAGGTATTTTGTGGCCTCAGTAGCAATCATGTGAATGATACTTGCATTACAACAATGATAATTTATGGAATAATTTTGGCAAGATTAGGGCTCCTGAGAACATGAGCGAATACATTTTATTATCCTGAAAGCTAAGAGACAATATGAGTACAAAATAACTAAAGGAAAACTAAGCACAAAAGAAATGAAAAATATAGGAAAATATACCTATTTTGTCCCCCTGTCCCTGTAACAGGGCATGAGTAATTTCCAGTGACTGTTTATTCTCATTACATACATTAGTATTTGTTCAGATTTCATGGCTATTACATTTTTACAGAACAACAGTTTAGAAGTCAATTTTTTAATTACACCTGTGCAACAGAGTAAGTCACAGTACACTTTGAGATGTTTAAAAAATATTTATAAACTTGGTTTTGATATGCTAAAGCACTTGGCAACACTTTTACAGCATTTGGTTTTATATAATTAAATTTTCTTACAGTACTCCTTGTGATTTTTTTCTTTACATCTAAGAGAAAAAACCTCACACAAAGAAATATGAACTGCCAAGTCTGACTGCATGATCATGTAATTCCAGTTTATAATGCTGACATTAAAACCTTCATTAATTATGTTGACAAATCATTACTTGTAGATTTAATGAAGGCAACCAAGATGATTTGAAAACACAACATTCAGGTTTTAAGTTACACATTTAAAGAAGTGTGCAGTTCTGCAGTGAAATGAAAAAAAAAATGTAAATACACAATGAAAGTTACAAGTTCACCAGTTCCTGTGACACAAACTGTTTTAATCTTTCAAGGTACTGACCATAGAGTTCCACATCATTATGGCCCGCTCCTTCTACCCACAGTGGTTCTACAGGTCTCTGGCAACGCTCAAATAATGCCAGGCCATGTGAAAAGTCAATTACTTCATCTTCAGTTCCATGGATTATTAAGACAGGAGATGTTATTTTAGAAATTTTGTCAATGCTGTAAAGAAAAAAGATTATATCTATGAAAACAATAGCATAGTTCTGAAATACGACAGGAATTTTCTTCAGTTAAGATCTACTTTGTGTTTCAGTCTTACAGAAACATATTGCAAACGACTTTGTTCACAGTTATCCAGACTAACAATTCACTGGATAGAACTACTTCTTAAAACTAGGGATTCACATCTTATGTACAGGAAAATGAATTACTTCTTTACAGATATCCACTAAAATAATTAGAGGTGCAAAGTGCCCAGAAGGTTTACAAAGTTTTGTAAACTTCTTAAAATCAAATGCTCCTCTTTGATGTTTTTCACTAATTTTCTTCAATTATTTTATTAAGCCTTTGAAAAAAATTTCAGAGAATATGCCAGACTACTTGCTTCTCTAGTTGAAAACTTCTGTTACAGAGAAAATGCATGCTGGATAAAAAAAAGTATCGTACAACTTACTTCGGGAATGCATCAAAGCAGTATGTCTTCTTTGTGTCAGGAAAAGCTACTCGCATTCCTGAGGTCAGTGGAGAATGAAGAATTACAGCAGCACTTTCATACCTAGCAGCAAGATCCACAGATGGTACTGTGCCTATACTCTGGCCATATATAATCACATTTTCAGGGCGAATTCCATACCTAGAAAATTAGAAATGTTTAGAAAGTGGTATATAAAATGAACCAGGCACAACCTAGAGAACAAGGCAAAAAAAGCATTTCTGAAGATGAAAATTTTCAGAAGGGTATCAACTATGAAACAGGAGGTGGTAGAAGAACAAGCAAGTCTGTTCTACGACATTCCTGACTAAAACACACAATTATTTATTTACTCTCTATTTGCAGTAATTTTTTCCCTATGCCTGAATGATATTGAAATAATGATTTAAATTTTTAAACATGGATTTGTGAATGCAGTGTACCTTGTTAAAAGTTTTTATTTATTAACTCAAGAGGACCTACAACAGAAAACTGATTAGAGCCTTAATAGCTCTTTGGTTATCATCACATGAAGCACAATCAAGCCTGAAAAAATTTGGTCAGCTTTACTCTTCTGCTACCTGATAAAACCTGCAAGCTGGTAACATTGTTTATAAACGTGGTGAGACTTAAAGCAGGCCCATACCGACAGTGATCAGTACAATGATATTGATCATTCCATGTAATGCCAAGAAGTTTGTTTTTATCAGCCTTGTTCTTATCTAATCCACAAGCAAGACAGCCCAACAGGGAATACAGAATTGAAGTCAAAGCCTTCCTTCTAGTAAGATGTAATTAACAGAGGCAAACAAAACAAACATCTAGTTAACACTCATACAAGTAATTTTAATATATTTTTCAGATTAGTGTGAATACAAAAAGCAATTGCTACCCAAGTTACACAGGAAAAGCCTGTGAAGAGAATGGTAATGAGTCCAAGAACAGTGCCTGTGAAAGAAGTGAGCTGCTGATCCCTGTACCCCTAACCAGGTACTCTTAGCACGGGTCAGACTGCAGCAGTGTACCTAAACTTGGGAAAGGAAGTACCTTAAATAGGAGGGGATACCACATTGCATTAATACCAAACCCAAGAAAACCCCATACACAAAAAAACCCCAAACCAACAACAACCACCCTTCCCAAAACCTCCAAAACACACCAAACAAATTAATCCCCATCACCTCTAAAAATAAAGTCCAAAGCCCCCAAACTAAACCAAAAAACCCAAATCACTGTTCTCATGCATTATTAAAAACTTGTTCAACTTTTTAAGTAAGAGCAGCCTAGCCTAACGTCGCTGTGGAACAGCATGAGGTAGGTTTGCCTTTGCCAAGTGAACTCTAAAAGGAATGAAAACCAAGCGTAGGAAAATGCACCTGTTACCTTGTCTACAATAAAGGCATGCATATTTTCTGTCAACATTATATAACAACACCCATAGCCAAAAAGAAGTTATCAAATGACTATATTTTGCGTATCTCCAGTAAAGTTAGGGGAGCAGAAGTATAAAAGAAATGCACAAGTATCTTATAAACATCGGTAAATAAATGTATGGGTAACCAAACACTGAAATCAGTAAAATCTAAGAGACTAAAAATCAGGAACATTAGGAAAAAAGGTGTTTCATGTGTACCAAGACACTCAAATTACCAACCAACAAAACAGCTCCCCCCAAATCTACAAGTACTTCTTAATGAGCCAGAAAAAAATGTCCTCTAAGTTGCATCCATATATAATACACAGTTAATAAAATAATACATATCTAGGAAGATTTCAAGACTGTAGTAATACCTATATGTTACGTACCAATAGCAGAACTCATTAGGCATCCCAGTAACTTGTTAACTGTTCACATCTACCATTGTCTATTTAATATTCATTCATTCATTTATTTAAATTGGGTTCTGATAAAGTGAAATGTAAAAGGTTTTAAAGTATTAGCCTGACACAGCAATCTTGCTGCATCATGACTACTTAATCACTGTTTCCTAGAAAGAGTTTCTAGTCATAATCACATCATGATCAAATTAGGACTTCTAAAACTCTAAGTCTTCATCATCAGCCTGGAACTGCTACCATAAAGCTTTGAAACAAAAGACAAATCTAAGGTCTCCATTATCTCTGCATCTCTTCTGAAACACCTGAGAACATAGCACCTATCCTTTTCCAATTCATCTCCCAATTCACATCACATTTGTCCACTGTGAAAGTACAGTACAACCTTCCCTCCTTCCAACATAATCTAAAGAAAACTTGCATTAATACGTTGCATCACTAGTATGGCATGCAATTTGCACAGCACACTATGACAAAACTTTTTTCAAATAATAAACCTTGCCAATTACTACACTTGGCGTTTCCTTGGATGTTGAGTTTTACAAGATAAAGGCCATTACGCAGGAATTTAAAGCACAACTTAAAAACTATATTTTAGAACATATATTCTCCTCTTTCTCATTCTTTCCCCTATTTTTTGATCAAATTCCTTCAGCCTGAACACAGATAAATGATGGCTACAAGAAAATAAGCCAAGAAAAGCATTTCCAATATCTGGATTAAAGTAATCCTTACTCCATCACAGTCAAATACATTGCCTCACAGTGCCCACCAGAAAATACATGCTTTGCAACCTGTAAACTAAAGTAAAGAAGTCAATAACTCAAAGTGGTTGTTCAAAGTACACTTCTGAATATTCTGGCTTGAATAGGATGAAAACCTAAATAATCAACCTCTGCCTCTCAAATAACAAATTCCAAGTAGCTTGGAAAACAGATTACATCTGCTCATTCCAGTCTTCCCTTTTCTCTTGAAAAGCTTTCGTGGGCTGATCCTGGCTGGGTGCCGGGCACCCACCAAAGCAGCTCTCTCCCACTCTGCTCCATGGCTGGACAGGGGAGAGAAAATTTAATGAAGGGCTCATGCGCTGAGATAGGACTGGGAGAGATCGCTCATCAAATGCCATCATGAGCAAAACCAACTAGAAGTAGAGATATTAATGAAATTTATTACTAACAAAATCAAAGCAGGATAATGAGATGTAAAACACACCTTAAAAACACCTTCCCCCCACCCTCTCCTTCCCAGGTCTACAACCTACCCCAGCAGTGCAGGGAGACAGGGAATGGGGGTTATGGTCAGTTCATCACATCTCGTTTCTCTCGCTGCTCAGGGTGAGGAGTCTCTCCCCAGCTCACCATGGCATCCCCCTCACAGGAGGCCATTCTCCATGAACTTCTCTGATGTGAGTCTGTCCCACAGGCAACAGTCCCCCTCAAACTGCTGCAGGGTGGGTCACTCTTCCACGGGGTGCAGTCCTTCAAGGGCAGGCTGCTCCAGTGTGCATTCCTCTCTCCACAGGTCTCCCATGGGGTCACAGCCTCCCTCCAGACATCCCCCTGCTCTGGCGTGGGGCTCCTCTGGTGCCTGGAGCAGCTCCTGCCCCTGCTTCCCACCGACCATGGTGTCTGCAGCGCTGTTCCCATCACATGTTCTCCTTTCACTCTTTTCTGGCTGAAATTACAACTGCACAATGATTTTTGTTTTTCTCTCTTCTTAAATATATTATCCCAGAGGCACTACCATAATTTCTAATTGGCCCAGCCTTGGCCAGTGGCACACCCATCTTTGGAGCTGACAGAGGCTGGCTCTGTCAGAAATGGAGGAAGCCTCTGGCAGCTTTTCACAGAAGGTACCCCTGTAGCACCGTGCTACCAAAGCTTGGCCATGCAAGCCCAATATAATAGGCTTCTGAAATAGTTACAAAAAAGAAAGAACCCAACTGTCCCTCTGTTGCTATCTCTCAAAAGTATCACTTTACAATCTACAACAAAAAAATTATTTAAAAGGTAACTTTTTAAGTTTCCTACTCATAAAATTTGTTTACTTCTTTTGGCAGACTCATAGTCTGTTAAACTTCAAGAAGTTTTGTGCTGAATTATCAGATGACCATACCTGGTCTCCCAAAGGAGGAGTGTCAGATCAAGAGAAAAAGTCACAGTAACATTGTTCTCTTAATCAGTACCTTATAAGTACAGGCCATTCTGAGGAAGGGGAATATGAAATTTACAGAGCCGTATGCTTCAAGTAGTTCCTCTGGTTACAAGAGGTCAAAGACATGCTGTAAAGACTGTTGCTACCTTTGAAAGCTCATTATGTTGATAATAGTAACAGTAAACACTGTTGTCCACTCAGCTTATCTTAGATAACCTGTGTCAGCATAGACAGACCTTCAGCATGGGGGTGAAGGTAATGAAGGGTGGTTTTAGGTTTGGGTTTGTTTTTTTTTTTTTTTTTTTTTTTAAGCCATAATCACCAAAGAGAACCTTGGAAGAAAACCTTCGAAGTAGTTATGCACAAATGTACCAATGTGCTGGTTTTGCAGAGAAAGCTCTATTCCTCATGGACCAGGTATTCTGGGCAGAATCTGGTACAGAACTTGATAGATATTTTCTGCAGTCTAAAGGCTGACTGCAACATCTTTCTCTTTCCCAGAGCAACTGAAATTTCAATTCCTTTCAACACCCAATTCATCCTTTATGTTCACACACTTAAAGTTTACCTGCCTGGAAAGAGATGGAATCTAAAGAGCAGTTTTGACACAGAACCTGTGTTCACATAAGCTTCCTGACATCCTCACAGAGTGTCTGAGCACTCATGAATTTCTGCCTCATCACCACACTAAAGGCACAGGTTGATGTCACTACAAAGCTAAGCTACTGCTGAACAGAAAAGAACCACTTTCCTATTTGCAGCTTCAGCAATGCATTCCCCCTCATTAGGCTTTAACAATTAATGAAAGGAACTAAATAAATCTTGTCTGGGAGTAGTGGAGCAATTGCCTTAGCGCTCCTTTGTGCTGCCTGTGTTCAGGGACAGGCAGGAAACAGCATGCCACTGTTTGGTGAGGAAGGAGCAAGCCAATAAGGTGTTGTAACTGGCCCAAACTGTTCCAGTGCCCAGAACCAGGGCCCAAGACAACATTAATGAAGCCAGTATTCTTTTCTGTGTCCCTACATATGCTGACCAGATATAGATGGTCTCCTTAAAAGAAGAAATCCTACACACCCCTGGCCTGATCTTTTCAGCTTCTGGAAGGAAAAGAACTGCTAAACAGTAATGAAATATTCTTTTTTCCCCTCCATGATGAACTTCATGTGATTTAG